TAAAATAAAATAGAAACAAACTTTTTCGTGTGGAGAGAGGATAAGTAGGGAGGAACTGGGCAGAAGCAAAGTGGGGGAAGGAGGAAGAGATTCTAGACACATGGGAGCAGCTGACTCCCCTGTAACAGAACTTACACAACTGAAGCTTCTTATCGCCAGATGAGCCTGGATAGTAGTTTTTCATCACCAAGTGAGCACTCAGCAATCTTTCTAAAAAGGCTTTTATTGGTCCTGCTCATGCTTAATGAATGAAATCAAATAAAAATATTGTAGAATTTCATCAACATTTGTGGTATGCATAGCACGACACTTTGGTAGACCCTATGAGGAAGAGGAAAGAGAAACTCTGACCTCAAGCAGCTCACAGCAGTAGCTGTGTCTAGGTGGGAAGGCTACCAGTAGTCCTGAGCAGTAGATAAGTGACAGCCAGCCAGGGTTTTTTCCTGGGGACAGCTGGGACTGTTGGGGCGGTGGGTGGGTACGCTTCCTGAAGGACTTGGAATTTAATCCCGCCTGAGAAGGTCGCGAGGAGCGTGCACGCAGACATGGAGCTGGGGGTGCCTCTCCGCACTCAGGCCTGGCCCCCCTCGGCAGGTGAACCTGGTGTCGGAGCACATCTGGTGCGAGGACTTCCTGGTGCGCAGCTTCTACCTGAAGAACGTGCAGACCCAGGAGACGCGCACGCTCACGCAGTTCCACTTCCTCAGCTGGCCGGCAGAGGGCACCCCGGCCTCCACCCGGCCCCTGCTGGACTTCCGCAGGTGAGCGCGGGCGCGCAGCCGGCGTGGGACCGCCCGGGGCAGGCGCCCAGGAGCCTGGACCCCCAGGTGTGAGCCTTCCAGATCCCACCCTCCCGCTCCCGCAACCAGGAAGGGTGGTCCGTCCGGCCGTGCCCAGGCCGCACGCCTCCCCACCCGCGTAGGCCGGCTCCGTGTCTGGTGTCACTCTGCTGCTCTGCTCGCTCCCGCTCACGCCCTCTCCTCCTCCCTGCCTCTCTGTGCCTGGCCCCTTCCCCGCCTGCTTCCCTCGAGAAGAGCCTGCCTTACTTCCAGCCTCTGTCGCTCCCTTGTTGGCTCCCTCTCCTTGGCCTCTGCTCCCTGTCTCTTTCTGTTTCCGCCTGTCCTCCTCTCCCCAGGCCCCAGCACTATGCTCAGTCCTCGCTACTCTCTCCATCTCTCCCTCCTACCATCTTCTCTTTATCCCTCTCCCTGTCTCTTTACCTCTATTTGTATTTCTCCGTGTGTCTTGCATTCTTCCCCATTTCCTTCCTTCCTTTTCCTCTTCTCTCTCCCCCATCTCTCTCTCTCTCTCTGTCACTCTCCTGTCTCACTCTTTTCCCTCTGTCTCCATTTCTCCCTCTTGGCACCGCTCCCTTGTTCTGTCTCTTCTTCTCTCTCTTCCCCCTCCCCTGTTTTTCCTCCACTTCTTCCCCTCCTTCTCTATTTATCTCTGCCTCTCTTTGTCTCTGTCTCTTCCTGACCTTCCCTGTCCCCTCTTCCCTCTTCCCTCTTTCCTCTTTCTCTCTCTCTCCCTCACGGCTGCCAGTGTCATTTTTGTGATCTGCAGCTAGTATTCTCACTCCAGTTGCATAGTCACAAAAGTGATCATTGGCAGGTGTGGCTGCTGCATGGACAGACAGGACAATGGGGCTGGGGACCACCCCAAGCTGGGGGCAGGGGGCACAGGGAAGAGGCAAAGACTGTCAAAGGGAGTGCAGAGATCTTGAGGACTCAGTGGAGCAGGCGGGGGGCTGGGGCAGGAAGCTTACCCTGTTCTGACGCTGACACTGACTCCCACACCAGGCCAGGCCTCCAGCATCCGGCCTTTCCCTGCCCCAGACAGGTGGCTGGGAAGCCTGCCACCACAGGCAGGGGCCCCACCCACACTGCAGCCTTCTCCTGCTTCTCCGTCCCTTGCCAAGCTGGCCTGAGGTCTGTAGGTGCTGGGCAGAGGAGCAGAGCTGGGGGTGGGGACCTGGGTATAGTTTCTGAACCTCAAGACAATGCTTTCTAACTGGGGTCCCTGGGGCCTGAGGCAGAGGCATCTTGAAAGCAATGCCAGGGTAGCAGAGCTCTCTCCTTCTTTTCTGTTTAAAAAATCTTGATAGAACCAGTGCATGGGTCTGTTTTAAGGCTGGACAGGTAAGCTAAAAGGTTTCTTTGCTTTAGGGCTGAATAATGTAAACTTAGTTGGCATTAGACATACAGAACAAATTAATTGTTGCTTAATAAATGCGGTTTGGTGACGGTCCACCAGAGGGAAGGCAAATTAACAAAAGAAGTCCCTGAGAAGGTTCTTTGACCTCCTGCTGTTCCCTTACCTGAGATGAGGATGAGGATGAGGATGATGAGGATGTAAGATGAGGATGATGACACATACTTAAGAGGGTTGTTATGAGGTTTACCAGACCACAGTATGTGAAATCTAGTTAGGTGCCTGGTCCATAACAAGGGCTCTAGAATAGAATTAACTATTCTAGATACTACGTATTATCATTATTATTAAATGAGTGGAAACCACTGTTGTGACTACTGTTCAATCCCAGCCCTCTGACATACCAGACAATGTGCTAGAAAACCATGTGATCACCTGTAAAACTGTTCTAAGGCACCTGGCCCCTTAGCTGGAGGACCGCTAAGTTCCAAGCTTCCCCTGGAACAAACTGATAACCCCTAAGAAGGTCTTCCCCAGTCCTGGCCCAGAGGGGACAGCAGGAGTCTGCAGGTGATTCTCAAAGCAGAAGGTCACAGGGACAAGGGCAGGTTAGACAGGGCCACCGAGAGAGGGCAGAAACCCCCTGCTCCTTGCTGAGCTGTCAGGGGCAGCAGACAAGGGTCTGAGGTCCAAGTGGACCCCAAGTCGGAATATAACGCAGCGACGGAATGCCCATGCTGAGGTGAAGCTGCTCCACAGGCAGCAGCACAATATTCTGAGTTGAGGGGTTGTTCTCCCCTGGCCAGAGGAGCTCTGTGCCCAGGGTGAACTGACATCACAGCTGGTGAGGGCCACTAGGAGCCTGAGTAGAGAGGAGAATAGCCTGGGTGGTTGTAGAGGATGGCAGAGGGGCCAAGTAGGGATGTGGCAAGACTGACACCCTGAAAGCCTGACACCCTGGAAGTTAGCAGAAAGCCTACCCCCTTGGACTTCCGGTAGAGGCAGCTGTTAACATTCTTACATACTGTCATTAATAGTAGTTGTTTATTGAGCACCTAATTTGTACCAGACCTTTCACTTAGTTCTTTACATGGATTATCTCATGTAACCATTGTAAGAACCCTAAGGAGAAAGTTACTATTATTATTACCCCCTGTTTACAGGTAAGAAAACTGAGGCTCAAAGAGTTTAAATCAGTTGTTCCAGGTGCATAGCTTGGGCACATAGCTCGTAAGTGACAAGGCAAGCCCAGTGCCACCCACACCAGCTCTGATTCTTTGCCTGCAGCTCTGACTCCTTCCTCCGGCCCTCTTCCCCCTCCACCCTGGGAAGCTGGGGAGAAAAGAAGAAACAGAGGCCCATGATATGTGCTTCAGCTCCCTTTTCCCTTCCTGCTGGTGCCTACTGGCCCTCACACCCATTTCTTGTTGCAGGAAGGTGAACAAGTGCTACCGGGGCCGCTCCTGCCCCATCATCGTGCACTGCAGGTGGGTAGGGACAGAAAGGGACAGTGTGACTCAGGCCAGAGGGCCCTGGGGTCGGGCCTCCTGATTCCTTCCCCTCTCTCTGGTTCCCATGTGCATCTGCCATGCACATTGCCTGCCTGTCCCCTTGATGCCAGCAAACTACAGCCCATGGGCCAAATCTGGCACACTGCCTGTTTTATTAATGGCCCATGAGCTAAGAGTGGTGTTCACATTTTTAAATGGTAGAAGAGAAAAGAAGAACGTGTGACAAACCATATGTATGTAGCCCATGGCGTCAACACTATTTACTCTCTAGCCCTTTACACAAAAGCTTGTCTGAACAAAAGCCCAGTCACCAGCTGGCGAGGCCCATTCCCACTCCCTCCTGCTGCCTCCACCTCAGGGCTGAGCTACTCTCTCCTTCTTGGTTGTCCCATTGCCCAAGTGACACCCTACAGGTCACAGGCTTCCTACTCAAGGCCCAAGTCCTGGGGCCCAAGTGCAATGACCTTTCCCTCATCCTCAGCCCACTCACGCTGTCCCCAAGCCAAACCTAGTGGATCAACCAGTGTCCTCCCTACCCCAAGCCTCCATGTCTCCTCTGTCCCTCCCCTTTCCTGTTGGGTCACAAGCTGAACCTGTCATCAACTATTGTTTCAGCGATGGTGCAGGGAGAACTGGCACCTATATCCTAATTGACATGGTACTCAACCGCATGGCAAAAGGTAAGGAGTGTGCCCACGGTGCCTGCAGCCTCCAGGACCTTTTTAGAGTCTCCCCGGCACTCAGGGTTCCAGGAGCTCACAGAAGAGCAGGGTGTCACACCTCCAGGCCTTGGCCAATCCTCCAAGTCTCCCACCCCAGGGTACCCCAGGCTTCTTGGGTCCTGTCCTCTTCCAGCCACCCTCTGAGCAACCCTCCTGTGCCCCCCCATCTCCAGGAGTGAAGGAGATCGACATTGCTGCCACCCTGGAGCATGTCCGTGACCAGCGGCCTGGCCTCGTCCGCTCTAAGGTGACCATGCCTCCCTGCCCTGACCCTGGCTGCAACCCTCCCCTAGCACCCATTTCTTGGCCACCTGGGGGAAACCAGCAGCAGCCTGCCTCTCCCGTCTGCCTCCCCTTCCTCCAAGAGGACTCCTCCAGCCTCCAGGAGGACTCCCCCTCCTCCCAAGGGACCTGTGTAGCACCTCCGAGGTCCCTTTGGGGCAAGAGCAGAGGCCAGGCCTCTCCATGACCCTCCTGCCACTGCCCTTCCCTAGGACCAGTTTGAATTTGCCCTGACAGCTGTGGCGGAGGAGGTGAATGCCATCCTCAAGGCCCTGCCCCAGTGAGACCCCCAGGGCCCCATGGTGGGCAGCCCAGCCTCCGTTCCCCCTTTGCCTGTATGAGCATCTATCTGTGTGCCCACTCCTCGCTCCCCCACCTGCTACCCTGGCTCTCCTGGGCATGCCCAGCCCTTCCAAGAGGAGTGTGGAGGAAGCAGAAGTGGGAAGAGGCAGGCCTCAGCCTCTTGCATGCACGGTCCGGGGCATCCCATGGGGCAGTGGGCAGCCAGCGGGAGAGGAGAGGATGGGGGCAGCAGGGCAGCAGTTCTACCCAGGGCCTTCTCCTGCCTAAGTTCCCCGGCCCCGCTCCCATGCTTCGGGATGCCACCGACACATCCGTGTGGACGCCCCCACGCTCCAGTGCGGAGGGAACAGGGTGCAGGGTCGCCAGCCCCAGCTTCTCCTGCCTTCCCGCCCCGGCTGCCCCAGCCTGCCTCCTTGACCCCTGCTCCGTCCCTCCCTGCCCCCACACTCAGGCCTCCTCCCACCGCCCCCTGCCATGCTCAATTCGCTCCTTCTGACACTAGAGAACATTTCTAGAGAAATCTACTTTTGTATCAATGTGAATAAAGTTAGTGTGTTGTCTGTGCAGCTGCAACCCAGACTCCCACGTGGTTCTGTCTGCTCTGCTCCCAGACTCCAGCCCCAGCCTCAGTCCCAGCCCTGCTGCCTCTCTCAGGAGGTGCAGAGGGGGACGAGAGAGCGCCAGCCGCAAGTCGGGCTCACCTGGGTCTGAAAAGGAGCTCATAGCAGTGAGGTCGCCGTTCCTTTACTCTGTGTCTCCCGTGTGGCTGGCAGTCTCCAAGACGCTTTACATACATTAGCTTGTTTAATCTCCATGACTACCAATGATTGGGCCCATTTCACAGATGAAGAGACTGAGGCACAGAACTTGCCCAAGGTAACACGACTTGTAAGTGGTGGAGTTAGAATTCGAACCCAGGCAGCTTAACCTCTCTGCAGCCTCTCCTGTCGGTTCTTGGGCAGCTGCCTCGTGCCCTTCAGCCTCAGGAGTAACAGACGTCATGCAGGACTGCGGTTAGGACTGAGCCGGGTGATACTGGCAAACCTGCCACACCTTAGGCAAAAACTGCAGCAAAACTCTGATAGTGACTCTAAGCCAGGGCTGTGTGATTCCAGAAAGGCGTTCACCAGGGGTAAAGGACACTTTCTCCCTTTCTGTCAGGCCGCAGCTCCCAGAACCCTCCACCCGCATGGTCCTGAAGGTGCTCTTACCTGCCTGTCAGGTGTCCTTGGACAAAGGTGGACATAGAAACAAGGTGAAAAGTGCCTGGAGCTACTTGGAGCTACTTGGGAGTTAGGGCCAGTTGGCCGTGCTGAGGCACAGTCCCCTGCCCTGTGCAGGCAGCGAAGGGAGCAGACAGCAGACCGCAGGTCCTCCGCTGGTCTGGCCACGCTGCAAGCTTCCACAGATCCCTCTCAGGATGGAGCCTTGAAATTCCTCTTTCAGGGCAGGCTGCCTCAGGGCTTTGAAGACAACACATTATAGGCCCTTCAGCTATTGAGGGAGAAGCAGAGAGCCCACCTAGAGTGGAAGAGAGGCCGCGGGGAGCCCTGCGGCCCTGCCTGACAACGGAAGGTGCCTGTCCCAGGGCTGGAAACAGCAGGGGAGGGGTACCTGGCTTTTTCCTCCCTGGCTGCTGACGAATCTGGGGCCTGACCCTGGGGTGGGGGGCAGACCTGCACCCCTCCACGTGCCCCTGGCCCACGGCTCTGGCTGTGAACTAAGGAAACCTGCCAAGGGGCTGTCCACGGGTCTTGGGGATACATACAGTTTAAAGGTTTTGCCATGTGATATCAGCTTCCTGTGGTCCCCATGCTCTCCATCAAGTGTTACCTTAGTCTGATCTGAGCTATGCTGTGGAGTACTGGGTGGTGGGTGCCAGGGGAATCTGGCGTGGGCCCCCAAGAGGTGAGGACAAAGAATATGAGCAGTTCTTGGGGTTCTATAACATACTTGGGGAGGGTGACCTGGTCAAAGAGAACTTCTATCAACTGGCAAGGCCTGCACCTCCTTTTGGGCACAAAGGGAAGTGTGAGGCCTGAAGTGTCACCCACTGGTCCCACAGGGCCCCTCCTGGGCCCCCCTGGAAAGTAGGAGCACAAGAATACAGCGTACCAGTGAGCTCTCAAAACTCAGCTTTATTGACTTCCAGTGTTTCCCTCGGTCTAAGCTCAGCCCTGCTGGCTTTGATAGGTCTCTGAGGCTCAATGTTACAGGGCTGACTCCACCACTCCCCTCCCTGGCCACTGGGCTCCCCAGGCAGGGAGGAGGAGAGGCGGCTCTTCTGTGATGGTGGAGAGAAAGAATGGGCAGCAGGGTCAGAGGCCAAAGAAAGCCATACAAGCAGCGGCATGCCCGAAGCTCCCATCACATGCCAATCCCAGCCACACACACGCACCCCCCACGAGGCGGCCTTCCCTTCCAGGCTCTCTGCCCACCCACACCATTCAGCCTTCTGGGGCCTCACCCTGCTTAGTCAGACATGCTACTGCTCTGGCTCGTTCCTTGGACCCCAGGCTGCCCACAGGAAAAGAACCTCACCCAGATGCTGCAGGGCTTTGATTTGCCCACTCCAACCTTGGGGCTAGCAAGACGTGTCAGGGGAACCGAGGCTCTCTGATCATTCCCCCATCATCCACATTCCTGCCACCCTTCCAGGGACAAATCAAAAGACCCGATCTCCCTGCCTGGCAGCGAGTGACAGGCCGACCTGGGCTGGAACACGTCCCAAGATGCATAGCTCCATAAACCCGCACCACTTCCCCCAAAGCATGACCTATCAGAAATGAGGCCAGGTGCATTGCATTCTGGGATTTGTAGTCCCCAAGAGCCAGCACCAAACACCCAGGGAAGAGCGTGCACAGGTTACAACTATGACTCCTCCCACCCGGCCCCCCGACCCACCACCCAGGCCCCAGTTCTACACTCAGCATGGGTGAGGGAGAGGAATGGAGAGGCCCCTCCCAGCGCATGGGGGAGGGCGCTGTCCTGTTGTAACTGTGCTGCAACTCTGGATCCCGGACATCCAGCTCAGAACACATCTAGGAAGAGAGCGGGGGCGGGGTGACAGGAGAGAGGGTCAGCAGCAAGCCTTGGAGGATGGAGCCAAGCATGCAGACCTGGGCTAGCCATGTGCCCTCTCCCTAAGCCCTGATGATGGTGGGGAAGTCACATAGGGTACAGTCCCCTCCTAGGCCTCCCTCCTGGGTCACCCTGGCCCTATCCCACCTCTCCAGGGTTAGCCAGCCTCACCTCTGCCTAGTCCCAAGGCTGGGGGCAGGCTGAGGCAGCAAGAGGAAGGGAGGAGGAGTGGACTCCGGCTCTGAATCCGGACAGCTGAGAGGCTCCCGCCCCACCCAGCTAGCCTCCCCAGAAGACCTCATGGCCCTACGGGCCCCAGCATCTTCCTCGCCACACTGAGGCCTTCTCGGGGAAGGAAGGAGAAGGGAGTCCTAGCCAGATGAGCGGCCGTGAAAGCAAGCGATGCGGCCCGCAGGGAGTTGCAGAGAGAAGAGTGGGAGGAAGAAGCGGCACCAGAAGGGAAGCAACAGAGACGGTCAGAGCTCAACACTGCACAGAAACCAGGATGGGGGTGTCTGCAGCTGGACAAGGAGAGCCCGCACTGCTCCCCAGTGGAGCTGCCAACTTGGGCTCAGAGAACCCAGGCCAAGTCCTCCTTCCTTGACATCATCAGCAACGCAGGTGGCAGAGGACCTGGGCACAAAAGGCCCAGCCCAAACCACTGATTACCCCTCAGGAATTCCCCTTCCAGTAAGTGCATCCTTGCTTCCCGGGCCCTTCCACTGCCCTGACGCCCCCCACCCTGGGCTTGACCCAGGGACCTATCAGGCCTGGGCTGAGCACAGAAAATCTCAAGTCCACACCAGAGTGCAGGTGGGCCTGGGAGGGAAACTTGCAGAGGGAGCACGGAGTTGGAGACGGGCTCCCGCAACTCGGCCATGCTCCTCTCCACTCTCCCGGCAGTGAGCCAGACCCCAGTCATGACACGAATCAGGCTGCGCTGGGCCTGGTGTTCAGAGGATGAGGCAGCGGGACGCCTTCTCCTCTGGGGATGGGCTGGGTTTGGCGGCCTCACCCCTTACACCCTCATGGGTCCCTCCCACGCCTGGATCTTGGTGCTGGGCCTTGGGGCGCCCCTGCCGTCGTCGCTGTGCCTCCCGCCCACCTGCCGGTTTCTTCCCAGCTGCCTCCATCTCTGACAGGCTGTAGGCCATGGCAAGCTGCAGGTCCTCATCCTCAGAGAGGTCACTGTCAGAGGGGCGTGTAACAGCGGTCTGCCGGACCTGAGTGCCCCCGGACCTGGAGGTGACTGACTGTTGCTGCTCACGACGGCTCAGCTCCAAGCCCAGTGCCAGGTCATCTGGGACACCTGCAAGAGTCACAGCCACCATGAAGCC